CTCAATGGCGCGCGGGGGAAGACCCGCAATTGGGCCTCAGCTTTTTGAATTTTCTATAATCTATGGGGATCCATGCTTATGCCTCATTCTGAACAGTGATCCTGTTATGCACCTATCACTTCAAAATAAAGTTAAACCTTTTCTACAAGTGTGTACTTCGTTGATGTGATGGGAGTCTGACATTAGTGTGTGTGACAACAGCCAAAGACTAACAAAATTTGTGGCAGGGTATGAGCTTTCGTGAGTCATTGCTCACTGCCACAAATTTTGTTGTCATCAAGGTGCTATTGGACTCTTACACTTTTCTGCTGCTACGGACAGACTAACATGGCTACCCATCTTATCTATCTACCCATAATATACGAGAAAACAGTAATTTCACATTGCAGCATCTGATGAGTATTAATGCGATCATTTTCGGTCTCAGTGATAAGAATTGTCAAAACTGGACTTACTGCCTGAATTTCTTTGAGTCTAAAACCTGGATTTGTGCTTTCTTTTTAGACTTAGTTTGTTTTAGCCCGAAGTCATCACTAGTCAAAGTAAACAAGTTGACATGTCCTCCATCATCTCCCATTAAGATATCATCTTTCACCAGCAGTTCTGTTGGATGGTAAACTGAACAAATGCAGAGCAGACAGTGTTCCATGGGTTTGATGATAAAACAAGTATCCTGTGAAACAAAAGCACTTGCTTATTGGATGCTTTTGCATTGATCCTATTTACCCTACTGACCAAAAAACCCCCCACACCTGGTTTCAAAGGCAAAAGGTCGTAGAGAAAATGAAGAATTGAAATTAGCTCAGAGATAAGTGCATGCTTAGCAAGTCTAAGGTTGCAATCCTGGGCCATATGATCACCACAACCTTAAGCTGGTTTTCTAGTTATTCGATTTCCTGATGAGAAAAGCATTTCTGTAACTTGAGAATTCTTTGCAACATCCCTTCCACCTTCTGCCTGGAATAAGGACCCAGGGATTTCCGTTCCTACTGTTTTCTGACAAAGGGAGCTTTGACTCTCAAGGACTTATACCCTGGAAATCTTGTTGGTCTTTAAGGGTGCTACTGCATTCAGATCTTGAGAATTCTCATCACTCTCACCAGACTAAATTTCCCAGGAGTCTTCGGAGGGGAGAATGGTAATTAAACTGGTATAAAACAATTATGCATTTGCAATATAGGTATACCTTTGATCATTAACTGCAGGTTTAACTGCTATTGCCAATCAATTTTTACCTTATAATCATCAGGGGTCATTTTGTAAAAAAAGAGGGGCAGGAGCTCATTAACATAACTCATTAGCATAAATTATTTGCATATGCCACATCCCCTGACATCACCGGAAGTGTGTCAAAAGGCTACACCCATCGCTCAGGCTCCACTGGACTGTTTTGGATTGCTAGCTATGGGGGGGGGGGGGTTTCTTTCCCTTTTTTGTTCTTGCTTCCTGCTATAGCAGCCCCTGACCCCTGTTTCCACTCAGTAGGGTGGTAGGGGCAAAAATGAAGGAAAAATCATCATTGTGGCAACACCATAACATCACTTCTGAGTTTGCCCCAGAAATGATACCATAGTGTTGCCACACTGCCCCTGCCATGTCTCTGCTCCTGCAGGCTCCCACCAGGTGACAGTCACTGGCTGGCAGCCCTAATTAGTATGCCTATCAATCAACATATTTTTGGAGACACAGAATCAAATTTATTTAAGAAAAACTAAAATTGCAGGGGACCTCCAAGGAACAGCATTGGGCACAATGTGAAGGGTCTTCAGTGGGAGGAGGGAATCAGGAAAACTCACACACCCCCCCAGTGGCCTTCTTTTGAAAGAAAACAACTGATTTTATTGAATGAATGATGTTTATTTGCGGTCAAAGACCATTCATCAAAATATTACTTGTTCGTTAAATACAAGCAAATTAGCTTTCAGCTCTAAAAATAAACATATAACCTTAAAATCATTAGAATGTTAAAAGGAGAAAAATTTAACAGTCCATTATATCAAAATAATTATGAGATGTTTAAAACTAAAGTACTTAAACAACTGATTAGATACAATCAAATATGTTTATGTATGCCGCTCAGTACCATATTGAAAAACACACAACTGAATGCATCATTCCAGTGTTTTCCAGGTAACATGGTAATGGAATATTCAAATCCACTATCCATTGCTACAGTATTTATTCTGGGGGGGGGGAATAACCCACATGCAAAGCAATTGGTTAATTAAAAAGAATTGTATAGCTCAGTATATCTTGAAAGTTCAGTGGCAAGGGCCATGAGATTAAAGGGAAGATTTAAATATTTTTGCACTCAATAAAAATTCATTTAGGCTGCAATCAGATGTGCCATTTGGTGCAGAGGGGAAGTGGGCTTATTTCCCTCAGTGGAAATTGACATGATGTTGCACACATCCTTTGTAGCTGCAGGCTCAGCCCATCACTGAGTGATCAAATGGCACATGCGGGCGAGTAGGGTTTTTTTTTTACCTTTTGTTTCCCATGCGCATAAATGAGGACGTGTGATCAAATGGCACATGCAGGCGAGTAGGGGTGTTTTTTTTGCCTTTTGTTTCCCATGCGCATAAATGAGGAATCGCACCTCAACATGGAGGGTTCCCCATGGAGTATGTGGTTATGCACATACTGCTAAGCAAGGAAAAAAACTGGCACCGAGTCGGGATGGAATGAGCAGACCATCCTGACAGCTTGATTACTTGAACAATCAGACAGGGGAAAGTCCGTCTGTGGCCCATCGGCAAGCATTAGGACCAGACTTTCCCCAGTGTCTTTTAACTCCACTTCCATGGCGGGGCAGCACGGGGTGCCGATGGCCGTGGGACCTTTCCCAGGTGTTGCTGTCTAATTGTGCCCTTTAGATCCATCAGGCATTTGCAACTGAGTTGGATCTAAAGGCATGTCTGACCACGGCCTTAAAAAGTTCAGAATAAACGTTCAAAACCTCCTCCTTATTCTTGCTGAACCCTTACCACTAGACAAATTACTAGGTAGGAAGGATATGCAATACTGTCAAATAGTGCTCAGGAAAGAAATATGGAAGAAGCTCAACATGGGGTTACTGCCTTAAATGGTATCCCCATATCGAATTCTTCCCCATAATGTAGGATCATATACACTATGTTGCAGTATCATCATGTTGAATGTTTTCTCACCCTCCAGCGGTACCCAGGATGTGCAGAGGTGCAAGTAGCAAAATGTGCACCACGTTGATGCCACAACATGGGGTAAGTGATCTTGCATGTTATGGTGGAGACTGGAGAAGTCAACTTAGGGATGCCAATTTTAAAGTAGTCCTGTATCAGACAGAGAATGTAGTTCTGTCCTCATGCAGGAGGCTCAAGAAGTCCAGGTACTCTAGCTGTCCTGGGTAGGTGACTCCTATTTGCAGAGATGTGCTTTAGCTCCATCATTTTTGGGATAGTCCGCTGTAATACACACTGCATGGGACTGCACTGGTAATGTGTTTGCATTGCTATGGACTTTTACTACCGAACACAACAAGTATTCACATCTTCACTAACATTGTGGTCTTGTTTTATGAGATCCTACAGCTATATTGCCCAGGTTTCTATGTCTTTATGCTCTGAAGAGATACTTCCTATACACCATCTGATTTCAGAATTCTCTCATCAGCTCTTTACCAGCTATGTTATTAAAATGCAACATATTCAATAGTGTATAACCTAATTTTTCCTTCTGCATAGCCTTTCACTACAAATGCCAGAACCTACTCAGTTAAACAGCTAGAAACATCAGCGTGACTCAACACAGTACCAGAATACTCCCTTGTGATTTGTAATCCCAGACGATGATGGTCCTTTCAGTCACAGCTACAACACGCTTGAGCTGATACAGGTAATCACATCCATTGATCCATGGACTATCCTGATGAAAGAGAAACATTGGCAAAATCGTTTGCTTTGCTTGTTTGCTAGGAAATCTGTTCTTCCTTAATTGATGTCTGAAGATGGTTATATCAATTTGATTAATACAAATGGAGAGGAAGACTGGAGGCAGTAATTAAAGTATTCAGCACAGACATGAAACTCTAGCTTGCTTGGCAGTTGTAATCTCAGCCGTGGAGGTATATGTGTGTGGCAGTGTGTATACATATTTGATTAATAATTTATATAGAACTTTCTAAGATTTATTACATCTGGACCTGACTTCTTCCATGGATAGGTTTAGCTCACAACAACATAGTGAGGTGGATGTGACCAAACTAGACATGACAATCACATTTGCTTGTTTGTTTTTACCCTGAATCTGTGTAAATGGTGAATTTGGAGGGAACACAAGGACACAAGAAGTGTACTCACAGACATTCTGATCCTGCATTGCCTCCTAACTCTGCATGTACTTGTGCTTGGGTACTTGTTTTTAAACGCACACATGAAATTGCCCGTGTTGGGGTTGCCAGGTCCCCACCAGTGTTCCCTCTAAGCTGAGTTAGTGTGAGCTAGCTCACAGTTTTTTAGCCTCCGGCTCACAGATTTTTCTCTTAGCTCAGGAAGGATGGCTCCCGAGCAGACTAATTTATGCAGGAGCCATATTGCTCGCTCACAGCTTTAATGCCAGTAGCTCACAAAGTAGAATTTCTGCTCACAAGACTCCACAGCTTAGAGGGAACATCTCCCCACTGGCCACTGGTGGGGGTGGAGGGGTAGGGTTGCCAGATCCAGGTTGGGAAATTCCTGGAGCTTGGGGGATGGAGCCTGGGGAGGACAGGGACCTCAGTGGGGTACAATGTCCAAAGCATCCTTTTCTCCAGGAGAACTGATCTCAGTAGTCTGGAGATGAGCTGTAATTCTGGAGGATCCCCAGGTCTCATCTGGAGGCTGGCATCCCTACCTCATATTGAGCTTACTGGCAGTGGCTTTCCAGGGTTTCAGATCTTTCACATCACCTACTACCTGCTCCTTGCAACTAGAGATGCCACAGACTGATCCTGGGTTCTTCTGCACACAAAGCAGATCAGCTTTCACTAAGCCACAGCTCCTCTCCCATTAGTAAGATTGACCCCCAATGGTGTTGGTAAGGAAATGAGGGAAATAGGGACAGTCCTTTCTAAGTAGATACTACATTGGTTTGGGCCCCTGAAATATGATTAGATTAGTTTTGCTTAATACATTTTAATGTACTATTTTTATTAATTTTATTTAGTTTTAATGTAAGACATAGCAGATTATGGAGAGGAAGAATGCAAATCATGAAAATTCTTTATAAAACCCCCATTTTCCACTTGCCAGGTTCAAGTGTGGCAGATATGCTGCTATTTGAGGAGTCCTAAGGGACACGTTTCATTACTAAAGCTCACCTATCTATACATGAAGGGAGTCTGAGGCAGTGGCATCCTGAGGCAATAGTAGACTACACCAGTTCAGATTGTAGGTGAGGATTTTTGTATGCTGCCCTGTGTGTAATTTCCCTGTGAATAAAAATCTGGCAGGTCAGGGAGAAAAAAAAATCTATTTCAGACCAAAACTGTGAGAACTCCCTGTGGCAATCATCTTTAAAAGTCCTGCCTCCCCTTTAGGGTTCTGAACCAATCCTTGTGATTCAGGCCTCATACAAATCCAAGGGATTGTCATACAATCAGAGCCCATGGGACTCCACTGGATGGGAGCAGATGAATCAACCTTGGGTTAAGAAGAGTGTGGTGGGGGGACAGTTTTTCCCCTTTCCCTTCTGGTTTTGAAAGGGAGCATCAGCTTAGACAGGCTTTTATTTGGCTTTTAGTAAGGAAAAACAGTTAACGGAAATATATTTTTTATTGATTAAAAATTCTTACTACAAAGTATCATATCTAACTTTGAAAATAAATATATAAACAATACTTGAACAATATTAAGTATTTTAACAATGTTAAACACAACAAAACTTTTAAACATTTCTACAAATTAGAATAAAAGTTTCTACAAATTACAATAGATACATTAGTTACAACAATGCAACCTATAAAATAGATTTCACAATTATAACTACTATGTTACATGAATTTGCAGGTACGTTAGGTAAAGAGAATTCAATCAATCAATTTATTTGGCTCACATGACCAATGGTCTCAAGCACAGAATACAGCAAACATGTAAAATATCAATATAAGAGTTTAAAACTGTTAACATTTCAAATCCAATTAAAATATAAACTGTATAAAGGTTTAAAATACAAAACTATAAGACATTTCAGTCATAAAATTGAAAAAATTGAAAAAACAATTAGAAACAAAAAGTGCACACCTCCTCTTAGCAGCAATTATTTACGCTTCAATGCTATTATAATAGCTAAGTATTTTGCTACTGAAGTGGTGATTGTCGGGTCAGCATCTGTCAGCAAATAAGAGATGGCTCCAGTGGAAGATGGTATTTAGATAAAATTGGATATACCCAATATGACCTAAGAGTTAACCAATGAGAACAAAACAAAAGGAGATGTGTCAGCGTCTCAATCTCACCAGAACCTGCTGAAGTAACCTTTCTGGAGAAAGGGGAATCATATCTGCCTTCAGGGTTTATTTACTTTACTTTGAGAGCTAGTTTTACTTCATGTACTGAAGCCATCCACACCTACCTATTAGATACATTATCTTCTGTTAAACCAACCTTTGTTTGTTGTGTATGTAGTGTAATGGAATGGAATGAATGTACTGAGCTTGAAATCTGAAAGGTATTGTAAACCGACCTATCAGAACAAAAGGAGTTCTGGAGGGAAGCAAAGTAATTGGTCTTTATGTACAGTTTCTGATTGGACCTTAGCTGACATGTGGGCATGGCTTGCCAAGCCTGGACTGTTTAAAAAGGAGCCTGTTGCTCCATTGATTTGTCTCATTCTGTTCTTCTGACTACGTGTTCAATAAAGCTGTTATCACTGTTCACCTGCTGCCTCGAGTCTCGTATCTAACATTGTCCATCTCTGACCTTGGTCTAACAGATTTCCAAATAAGAAACCTTTAGGAAGTGCGTAGCTTACCCTATACCAATCCTTTATTCAAAGCTTGTGCCCCTCCTTTATAATTTGGTTGTGGGCAGTTGGCGTATAAAGAATCTAAAGGAGAGGCCAAAGTAGGGGGAGACTGGACATTCTTCAGTTCAAAAGACAGTCGACTTACAGCCCCCCCTCACCCTTTCCAAACTGCCTTTGTATTCTGTTTTGGTATCTGGTTGCTAATGGATTTTTTTCTGTCATTTCAGACAGACCCATTTTAGTAACCAGCTGCTAGTGGAATCTATTTACCTGGTCATACAAACCCACTTGCGTCAGTTTAGCAAAGCACGGTTGAGATGCTTTTGAGGAAAACTGCTTTTTTCTGTTTTCAACACCTTTGTGTGTTGATCACTGTGGTGTGCTGTTTAAAATGTCCATACAGCTTCCCACAATGCCACTTTCCCCCGCACTTTTCCACCACGTGATCTTCTTCTGACTTTATTCTAAGGTGAGTGCTATAGCACTAAACCGCTATCGCCACCAGTGTTCCCTCTAAGCTGAGTTAGTGTGAGCTAGCTCACAGTTTTTTAGCCTCCGGCTCACACATTTTTGTCCTAGCTCAGGCAGGATGGCTCCAGAGCAGACTAATTTATGCAGTAGTCAAATTGCTTGCTCACAACTTTAATGCCAGTAGCTCACAAAAAAGAATTCTTGCTCACAAGACTCCACAGCTTAGAGGGAACATTGATCACCACACTATTGAGATGCATTGACTCCATGCATCTCACCTTAGAATGTTTTTAAAAGTCTGAGGAAGATTGCATGGTGAAAAAGGATGGGGGAAAAGTGGCACTGTTTGAAATGACCATAGCACTTCATAGCACTTTAGACCATAGCTAGTTAACGGAAGGAAATTCACTGTATGAACTGTATGATCTCTGTATTGCTTTACTCGAAATCAAGCCAACAATAAATAACATCCGGTTTAGAATGATAATGTGAAAAGGGCCACTCTTTCTCACCCCATAGCCACCACACATCCCCATATGCAAGATGTGATAGGACAGACCACCCTACTACCTTATTCTGATATATGATCAGGCCCTTACGCCAGAATAGAATACTATGGTAATAAATCCAGTTCAGATAGTATTTATAGTTTAAACAGGTCCAGTTTGAAATTTTTGAATGTCCTTTGAATGGTCATGAGTGTCATTTGGAGAAATTCAAAGCATGGTGCTGCTTAAAGCTGAATTTTTTATTTAACACAACACATTCTGAAAAGTCAGTCTGAGCAAGTAAGTGAGTTAGAAACTGAAACATCAGGTGTTTCAAATGTATTACATTTTTGCAGTCAGCACAAGTGGTTCACATAGTGTAAGTAGTTTATAATGGAATCCACTCAAAATTTCTGTGCATCAATAAAACTGGAAATTAATTTCACATCTGTATGCTTTATGTTACACAAAGAGAAAGTACAGCATTTTGAAAAGGTAGTATACAGGATTCTAAATCAAAATTTAAGAGAGAACTCCTATGGCTGGCAGAGTGCCCAGAATCTCTTTCTAGCCTGTCATGGAAGACTTAACTAAGGGAAGCAGATGCAGTGACATAACTTGTCCAAATGAATATAGTGAGAACCAGGCAAGCCTGCCATGGGAAAAATGTTTTTAATAAGAACAATGCTCCAATCATTTGATCACCTGGGAAATACAATCAGAACAGAAAATAAAGCCTGGAAGTCAAGATAAGACAACAGAACTCATCCTAATATACTGATTTATTCCCCACTGTTGTGCCAACTGCAGCTGTTAGAGATCACTGAATTTAATGCCTAACTAGCAAGTCAGACTCGCTCAAAATAGAACTTGGCAGCTGTTGGTCCCCAGGTAAGTGACGCACAAAATCTGCATCCAACTGTTCTCCATGTAGATATAGTGCTGATGTTATTCAGCCTCTCA